TTTTTTTTTTTTTTTTTTTTTTTCTTTGGCGCAAATCTCCTTCTATGCCCTATAAAGTATGTCATTTTTTCGAACTTTTTCAGCTTGATTTTGATCTGTCGCTCAGCTGCTGTCAGGAACACCGGGCAAGTGACTTGCTCCGGCGACTAAGGAATACTCGTCATATTCAGGTTCGTTTACTAGTTACTCGGTTTTTGGCGTCAATGTTTGACCATGGATTTAGGGCTTTGAATTTGATCCAAACCCGACCTTCGGATGTTTCTCTAATTGATGGGTTCTGCTTGGTTTTACATTTTACAATCGGTTCTCTTCTGCCTGTGTGACTTGGGGATTATACTGTTATTTACCTCATGCTAATTCTGCAAAAGTTTCAGTCGTTAATGGTTGTTGAAAGGAAGCCTGAGTAGAAATTTGTTTGAGTTGTGAATGCGAAAAACCATGTATGTTAAGAATATTGATTGTTCTTTTGGCATACTTAATTGACTTTCAAATACTTAACTCCACTGTGATTGTTATACATACTTCCATGAATCGGTATTTATCTTTGCTGTCACTGATTGGGCTTTTTCGCTTGTTCTTGTGTATAGAATGAGCAGAGTTTCTTGAATTGAGGTGTTTGGCCGTTGAAAGCATTTCATTTCATGGCAGGCAATGGCCTGCCATCATTGGGTCGTGTGAAGCTTACCGATATCGCTCCATCTGAAGGCGTTCCTTCTGAAACTTTCAAATTATCCGTCTCAACTCTGTCACATTCACTAGCTCAATACTCTGCTGCCATCATCCAATTCCCTGCTTGTGATGGGGCTCTTTTAAGGTCTGGTTTAGATTCTGCTCGCCTCTACTTCCACCAGAGAGCTGCATGTCCATCTGCTGAGTTGATGCAAAATAATGATTCGCGGGAGTGGTGCAGAACTTCTGGTTACTATGTAGATTCTCAGATGTGGCAAGAAACGTATGATTATAGGCCTGGATTGACTCCAGTTGAGCCCAGCAATGGAATGGAGTTACCACCTGCAGGTTTGGCCGACATATTTGCACTCTATGGAAAGGCATCTCGAATTATTTTGGATGCCATCAGCTTCTATCTAAACTTGCGTAGCTCTCCTTTCACAGAAATACTCGATAATGTTCCTCTTAGAAGTAGGGAGATATCGTCTTCTGTGTTATCCGCGTGCTGTTATGGGAGGCCCTCATTTCATGGAGAGCATCACCATAAATTAACTCCCCAAGAGGATAGTCAGTTGGCTATGTATACGTCGGACCATGAGCATCAAATCGATAAAAGTCTTATTACTCTGGTCAAGTCAGATAAGGCAGGTTTACTAATAAAGGATTTCAATGGTAGGTGGATTCTTGTGGATGGAGATCTTGGCCCTCAAGATGCTATAGTTTATCCTGGACTTGCACTCTATCAAGCAACTGCAGGGTATGTGAATCCTGCTTTGCTCAGAACAGATGTGAATAATATTCAAGGTAGTATGTATGGACGGTGTTCCTTGTCGTTCAAACTCATGCCTAAATCCATGACTAGCCTCAGTTGTTCAGAAATGAGAGCAGCTGGCCATGGGGTAGACGTTCAGTTCCAGCTCCCAGTACCGGTGGACGACTTTATGCAGAGATCACCCTCAACTGACCAACTCTTTAACCGCCCAAATTTCCAGAATTTCAGTTTCTCTACATCCCAAGATGGTAGGTCAAATCTTATTTTTATAATTTTTTTATTATCGTGCTGACGAATAGTATTTACATATCCACCCAGTCGGAGCGTTTCCACAGTTGAATCCATTTTGAATTTGATAAATGCATTGCCATCTTGTCGTGCATTTCGTGTCATTGCCCTTCGTCCCACTTCGATTTGTCTAAATGTGATCCAAGCGGGTTCAAGTGCTTGAATAACGTATCTAATTTATTTACAAGTGAAAGGGTGTGTGAGAAAATGATTCATGTTTCAATATATATTGCTTACTTGAGTTTTTATTTGTTCTTTTCGTCTTTATTCACTTGTTGGGCAATGTTTCTTGTTTAGTAATTGCTTAGTGTTAGTAGCCCCCTTAGTGAGAAGCTTTCAATTAACAGGCTATTGGATCGATGAAATGCTGGTACAGGATCCCTAAAAATGAGGAGGAGAAAGAATAATTCAAGTACCAAACCTCTACCCCCTTCTAAGAGATTACGGCTCGAGGCACAGAGAGTTCTGAAGGAGAGAGTACAGGAAATTGCAGATAAGAAGGGTATCAAATTGAGGTTCTGTAATCTAAAGGACTGTGAGAATCACATTCACACATTAGATAGCCCTTGTGCCAGCACAAGAATGGAGATTGGATGGCCTCCTGGCGTGCCGTTTGTTCATCCTCATGATCTACCTAATAAAGCAAAAATGGGTTTTCTTGAAGCTTACGAGCCCGGTTGGACAGCTAGTCACGACGTTGAATTAAGTCTTACGGAACCTGGACAAGTCGGTCAACAGTCAACCAACTGTAAGTCGATCTCTTTCATATTCATATATGCGTTAACTGGTTCTTGTTTTTTTTACCTCAACAAGTACCTGCTTTGCAATCAATATGGATGAAGCTTACTGATTTTGGTCCAATACTTTTTATAGTATTATTGCCTTTGGAAAGAGGGAAATAAAGACGTAGGTGTGTGTCGTTATTTTTCCTATTGAGTGAAGGTGGGTAAGGGCAGAATTCAAAATCTTGAAGATATCGAACTTGTGTCCATGTCTGATGGCAGCGGGAACCATCGACCAAGATTACATTGGTTTACGAGTCAATTGGAGCCTCGAGTGTATATTTCCTAGAATCTTGAAGATAATTGTGTTGGATCTTTTCAACTCTATGTTGCATATGTTTCATGTAGTTTTGGCACTGTCTTCATTCAGTTTCTGATGTTGCACAAGCATAACCATCCCAACTTTTCAGCTCTGCACCTAATACACATGCACCCCTTTCTCTTCACTTCATATATTTTCCCACCGCTAGCCGATATTGTCCTCTTTGGGCTTTTCCTTTAGGGCTTCCCCTCAAGGTTTTTAAACCACGTCTACTAAGGAGAGATTTCCACACCCTTATAAAGAATGTTTCGTTCTCCTCCCCAATTGATGTGGGATCTCACAATCCACCCCCCTTTGGGGTCCAGCTTCCTCGCTGGCATTCGTTCCCTTCTCCAATCGATTTGGGACCCCAAATCTACCTCCCTTTGGGGCCTAACGTCCTTGCTGGCACACCATCTCGTGTCCACCCCCCTTCGGGCTCAACCTCCTCGCTGGCACATCGCCCACGGCTCTGATACCTTTTGTAACAACCTAAGCCCACTACTAGTTTAATCCTCTTTGGGCTTTCCCTTTCGGGCTTCCCCTCAAGGTTTTTAAAACGCATCTACTAGGGAGAGGTTTCTATACCCTTATAAAGAATGTTTCGTTCTCCTCCCCAACCGATGTAGGATCTCACATTTTTTTTTCATTTTTGTTTATCTATTGGCTTTCTGAGTTCACTTTATATAGTTTTTCTTCCTCGAGTTCTTCTGTTTGCTTTCACTTGCCTAACTTCCATGTTTGTTTGCTCTATCTGCATTTTCTTTTGCTTAAAATGTTTGTTTTAGCTTTATTCCTTTTGGATATCAATGGTGAATTGTTCTTTTGCTCCTATCTCTGCAGGAATCAGTTCATGTTCTGTTCATCAATCGATTCTCAAGGCCTAGTAGCTTGCAACTTCAAAACCAGTTCCATTCATGGCTGTTGATAACATCATCATATCAATGCCCGGATTGTTATTTCAATGCCCGGATCGTTATTTCAATGCCCAACGCTGACAAATCATGCCTGTTTCCATCTCTAGCAAAGACTGTACATATGTGTTACTTTCTGGGTAAGCCAGTTCCATCTTCATCTCCTTTATCTCTCGGACAGCTTCATCTCATTTATTGGAGAACAGCTCTTGAAGAACAGGATTTGTTAAAGTTAGCTAACCAGTGATGGTAATGGAGTGGAAATATCTATTTCCTTTGAATTCTAGTAGAAATTTTTCTCATGTTAGTCATACCTTCATGTTCTAGACTAGTGTAGCTGCTGCTTTAGTCAATATGATGTGTAGAATTTGGGAGACACGATTAAGAGCAGAAATATACAAACTTGAGGTTCCTGAAGAAATATTCCCTGTTTTCTTCTTCTTCTATTCTCTGTTTTGTTCTTGCTTATATCAGTGGATCGTAACATTCCAAGCAAGATGATCCTTGTGCCCACTTTTAAGCGGTAAAGTTCAAAGTTAAAACACCCTTTTGTCTCGTTTAAATGATTGGAATATCTTCGATTCTTATGTTTATAGCTTTCTGATCGTTTTTGGTTTCATACGCAAGGAATGGACGCTTAGTATATACTTGGCAGAGAACAGCTAGAAACATGGGGATGGAGGTAAGGCTGCTGCTAATCTCCTGCTTTCTTTCTTTCGCATAAACTGCAAATGGTTAGAGACCTAGGCTGCTGCTCATTTCTATATGATTTATTCATTTCCATTATCCGAACACTAACGACATATATAACAGTCAAACCACCGCTAATAGGTATTGTCCTTTTTTAGCTTTCCCTTTCGGGTTTCCCCTCAAGGTTCTTAAAACGCATATGCTAGGGAGAGGTTTTCACTCTCTTATAATGAATGTTTCGTTCTCCTACCCAATTGATGTGAGATCTCACAATCCACCTCCCTTTAGGGTCTAGCTTCCTCGCTGACACTCGTTCCCCTCTCCGATCGATGTGGGATCTCACAATCTACCCCCTTTTAGGCCCCAGCATTCTCGCTGGCACAACGCCCGGTGTTTGGCTTTGATATCATTTGTAACAGCCCAAGCCCACCGCTAGCAAATATTGTCCTCTTTGAGTTTTCCCATTCGAGCTTTCCTCAATGTTTTTAAAACGTGTCTATTAGGGAGAGATTTTCGTACCCTTATAAAAAAATGTTTTGTTCTCCTCCCCAACGGATATGGGATCTCACTGACATATTGTTAATTGAAAAAGATTATGCCCCTAAACTTATACACGAACAAAAAAACAAAATTAAAATCAATGCCCAGCATGTAAAATTTTTGTTTATGATAAACTTTATTTGCATTTCTTATAGAATACATGTTTCATCCATACGAAATGAAAAAATCACGAAGAGAAACCTCATATATTCACGATGAACACAATCCAAATGAAGCAACAAACACGAGACACGACACCCAAAGAACTATACCGACATATCCCAAAGTAAAAAACGAGTTATTTAGCCACAAAATTCCATAAACTGAACTTCACCTACTAGGATTCCCCTGTGTTGGCTGTGAGCATACTGACACCAGAAGAACTATACCGACATATCCCGAAGTCGAAAATGAGTTATTTAGCCACAAAAATCCCCGAAACTTAACTTCACTCACCTACTAGGATTTCCCTGTATTGGCTGTCCTGTTGACATAGGGTACAGAGACCTAAGCTGCCTGCTTATAAGCTTGCTATCATGAAGAGCTAGCTGAAGCTGCAAATCATCAGACCACCATTGTTCCAATCCATGAGCTTCAAGAAACTTCTGCTTTCCCTTAGACATCACAAACAACTTCGCTGCTGCAGCTGCTGCAGCTGCTTTCCCATTTTTAGGATTAACATTCTCTTTCCCTTCATTGCTTTTCTCTACTTGATCTGATTCAGTATATGAACAGCATATATAATCACTATTATTTACATATATATGTGGGACCCACTTCCCAATTCCCACCCCAGGATTCTTCAACCTGTTTAGATTTGCTACCCAGTTCTTGAAACCAGCTCCCCCTCCACTGGCCTTTTCCCCTTCCATGCTGCTATTCCCTGTAGTTTCACTCCCTGAAGGAAGCATTGATTTGATCCTCTTCCAAGCAAACTCAGCCTTTTCCCCTATGTTCCTCAAGCTCATAGCCACTGAAACAGAAGGTGGATTGAACAAATGAGTTTCAACGTAGATTCCTTCTTTAGCTAAGGCCTTCCCCACTTGTAGAGCAAACCCAGCGCCCAAGGAGTGCCCAGCAATACAGACATTGCTGCTTCCATAACTCTCAGCCACTGATTTTAGTGCCTTCAAAGCTACGTTAAACCGGACCGAACCCTTTAGGCTCTCCCAAGCGAGAAACCGAAGGTCGTCCTCGATGTCCCGTCTGATCGTCGGGCTTTTGAGTAATGTACCTCTTAGTGCTAAAACAGCCCTTGGTGCACCACTGGGTCTGATGAGGACTAGATCAGCCATGGCTGCTGATCTATCCCATTCCAGTATTGCACCGAATATGGAACCATCTCTTTCGTCTATCAAGGTTTGTACTAGCTTGTATTTGAAGGGGATCCACCATTTGGGAGCCAGTGCGTTTTCTTTGTTGCTTTTGTTCTCTTGTCTGTCTAGTTCAAGCAAGTAAACTGCTTGGATAAAACATGCAACCACGGTTCTTTTGTAATTCCCGTCCTTCCTGCACCGAAATTCCTCGTCGGAATGTCAAAATGAGCATAACTCAATTGATTTAAATCATATACTATCGACTAAAATGATAGAGGTTCGAATTCTCTACTACCATGTTATTGAACTAAAAAAATTAATAAAAAAAATGTTTCAATTGAACTGTATGGTTTCCGGCCAGTCTCGGATGGAGATGTTAATGGGTTGGGTTGGATCGAGTTAAGTTGGGACATGGAGGAGTTCATGGGTTGTTGGTTCGAGTTAAGTTGGGACATTTTTTAAACCCAACCCAATTATTCGGGTTACTAATTTTTTAAACTCAAACAATCTTTATTAAATAATGAACTCAATCCAACTCAACCATAAGATTTTGGAGTTGGGTTGGTTCGGGTTGTTCGTGTCATTTATTCAAATCTTTATTAAATAAAATATAACATATATATAACTGTACAATTTTTTTTTTTTAAGATTTAACAATAAATTCGATTTGATTCCGTTCAATTCAATCGAGTTTTACATAACCTCGCGAAAACCCAACCCATAAGTTTTCTCAATTATTTGAATTTAAATCAGTTCAAACAAATTCATAACTCAAACCCTAAGTTTTTTTTTCAACACTCAACATGGTCAAATTCATCCTGCATTAACAAACCAAAATTTTCAAAAAATTGAGATTCGTAATGATCTCGAGAACTCCACAAACATCTTGCATACAAATTCCATTTCTAACAACTGCACTGTCTAGACTTGAAGAATCAAATCAAAATTGTTGCTATTTTCGATAAAATTTAGGTTCGAAGGATGAAATCAAAATGATTGAAAGTTCATGAACATCAGATTATAAGCTTTGATTTAAGGAGTGAAGAAGAAACCAGAGCCGGAAAAAATGGTGGAAACAGAGGAGAGTGAAGTTACCAACTCGAATTAATGAGATCTCGCCAATTAGGAGAAATAACATTGCGCGGTCCAGATACATGAAAAGCATAGGGATGAGCCTCCTCCTCCGTCGCCGCCGCCGGTGTCGACTCCGCCGTGTCGGGACTTGCCATTAACCCGCCGCCGGGTTTCTCTAAGAGAAGAAGGAAGAAATGTGGGTAAGAGCGTGTGAGAGAGTATTTTTGGGGAAAAAGGCTTCGTTCACTTTGAATCTGATTCGATGTGGAGTTCTTAAAATATTTTCCTTTTTCTTTTCAAATGGAATACAATAATGACCCCAAAACGCCTCCAACGGTCATATTTTCAAATCCCTTCCCTTCTTCTCTTTTCTCCAAATTACCAAAATACCCTTCCTCCTCTTTACGTTAATTAATTTAACTATAAATTTTTATAAGGAATAATTTAAATTATTTATTGGTGATTTATTATTGTTATTCCTTGATTTTATTTAGAATTAGTTTTTTTTTCGAATTTATATTAATTATTACATCTAAATACACCCTTCTATGGTTTATATTGATTTATTAGGATTTAAATGACATAATTATTAATTGGAGATTTTAAATAATATAACTTTAAACTTTAGATTATAAATAATTCCGTCGGATGAATATTTTAAATTGACATTTTTTCTTCGATTTTTTACACAAATTAATTTTACTCTTGACTATTACATTCATTCGGAGTTAGTCTTAATCTTTTAATTTCTAAAAGTAAATACATTTGGAATCGTATATTTTAATTTTTTTTTCAGAAGCTGACTCGAAAATTTTTATATATATAAAAATATAAAATTTTTCAATCTCGTATTTCATGATATAAATGATAGAGATGTTCATTTTACTTATAGGACTCTGTTCGGGACGAAGATATAATTTTCTATTTAAACAAGGAATGAGGGAAGGAGTGGAGAACATTTTTTTCAATTAAATAAACAGCTTCAGGGACAGGATTATATTCGTTATAGAACCGCCCTTAAAATAAATATATTTTTAATATTATTATAAATAGGTTTATTTTAGCTATATTAAATTGATTAATTAATTAATTAATTTTGAGAACTATGTCGCCGCGAAGCTATTTTCCATTAAACTATGAAAATTGAAGTGGCTATAAATTGTAAACTAAAATTCGAAAAGCCAACTGAAAAAAATGGGAAAATCATAGCCGCCAATTCAAGTTCCCCTCCAAGTCCGTGTAATGGAGACCGGAAGCCATAGATTTTTGGCTTGAATACAATAAAATCATGAACTCGAATTTCGTGATTGCGTTCCATGGCTCAAATCCACACTTTTCTTCTTCTTCTTCTTCAAATCTTCTGTAGAATAAATGGCCGCTTTTGAAGTTTCATTCTCGTTGTTCATCTTCTTCGAGAAAATTGGCTGTTTCTGAGGGCGCCGAGGGTAGACTCTTCTCATTTCGTCTTCATCCGGTATGCATTGATTCACTGCTTTTGTTTCGTTGATGCGTATTTTCTTGCTGTTCTTTCTATTATCTTACTGTCGTTGTTTCGTCTCTTTGCTTGCTGTATATTTGTTTCTTCAAAATTGTGATTCGTTTGATTCTAGCTCTGTAATCAATCCTATAGTTTAATTACCTCTACATGGAAGAATCCTATTCGTAAATCTGAACGATTGAGATTTTAAATTCTTTTGAGAATATATTATTAAGGGAATGGACATTATGGACTCCTTTTTTTTTGATGTGGAAGGGGATCCAATTCCAATTCCAATTCAAGTGCCTTATCTATACAGATATAATAAAGTAAAGATTATCTTGTTTTTCCTGGCTAAATACGTTTCTAGTTTCTATGCTTCGACATAGCATGATTCCATTTCCAAATTTAGTTCTAATGCCTTTAGAAATTTCATGAGGAATCAAATTTTAACAATTTCATAAGGACGAAATATGATAATTTTAGAAGTAACGGAATCAAATTGAAATAAGGTTAAAGCATGAGAAGTCAAAAGTGTATTTTAACCTACTTGTTTTAAAGATGTTACGAAGCAATTAAAGATTTATCATTATTTTTCTTTTCAACTGTATAGGATCATCTTCTTCTGCACGCACACAGCTTGATCTCTTGGAGCAACTCTCTTCTGGTAGCCAAATAACTGATGGTAAGTGAGCTGATTCTCTCTTCTAACAAGCAAACAAAATGGGAATGAAATAGAATGGCATCAGCCTTCTTTCATTGAAAGAGATCATCATCATTTCACTTGAACTTACTGACATTTTATGTTATCAGGTTATGAAAGCGATGGCAGTTACCAGAAAATTACGATCCGTGATCAGCTTGCGCAGTTGCTCAGAGACAGAGATGACGATTTTAACATCTCGTTGGGTAAGAACTTGAAGAAGGTTAGTGCCAAGTTTTTGACAATTTCTCAGAAGAGGAATATCAAAAGACAATCATACTTGAACGAAGTATCTCAAAGGAACGATTCAGTTTTTTTTGCTACAGTTGGAGCATTTATAATTTTGCCTTCTATTTTAATATTGGGAATTGCTATAATAACTGGCTATAAAAAGTAGGGCTAACTTTTTCCATGATATACAGTTTATACAAACATCATATGTATAGAAGTGATTATCTCATGATATTGAAGATTCATTGCCCATTGTTTTCATCTTAATTTTCAACTTCAGTTCTATATTTCTGGAAAAGTAGAATGCAATAGCCTAAGCTCACCATTAGCCGTCAGTCTCACGGTTTTAAAACGCGTCTTCTATAGAGAGGGTCTAGCCCTACTCCGACCAGTGTCTCGCACCGTCCGGTGACTGGCTCGGATACCATTTGTAACAACTCAAGCACACTACTAACATATATTGTCTGCTTTAGCTCGTTACGTATCACTGTTAGCTTCACGGTTTTAAAACGCGTATGTTAGAGCGAGGTTTCCACACCCTTACAAGTAATGTTTTGTGCTCCTCTTCAACCGACGTGGGATCTCACAATTTTGAAAATAACTGACTATCAGATGACAGTATCTTTCTTTTTTTAAAAAAGAAAAAAGAAAAATTATAGGAACCAGATGACAGTATCATCTCTTTATTCTTCAAAAACTCTGTATTCATTAGGTTCAAATCTGTGATAGAAAACAGAAAAACCACATCAGAAAATATCTCCTGCAAGGCCAGATTTCATCTCTTACAAAATACCACACTCTTTCCCTATACAAATCCCAATAAGAGGAGAGATATGAGTAAGAAGAATGACAACAATCTCGTGTTAGTGAAAGCAAGCTTCTGACATATCTATTTACTCCTTCAGCAAGGATCAGTGTTCAGCTCCTTTTGCTTGTCATTTGGAGAGAGCACTTGATCGGTAGGTGTTACCAAATCATTCCCCAAAATAACTCCTTGCTTTTGTATATACTCCAGTTTGTCTTGGAATAGGTAAAAGAATGAAATCAAAGAAATTTCAACAGTGAAAATTATAGTCCAAATTCGTATACTTCGAGATGTTTTCTCATGGTAAGCAAATAATCCTGAATATACATTGAAGACTCCTAGGAGAGATACTGCGGTGCCCAGCATCCAATGTATAAAAAACCATAGGCTTCTTGTGTTAGAGCCCCTGCAAGAGAGATAGAAAAGAGAGAATTCAGCATATAGAAGTCAATACAAAAGTTGATTTTGGAGTAAGGAAACTTTGTTTGTTTTTTCTAATCGTTTCTTTTAACAAAAGATCAGTAGAAACATGGTTGTTGAATAACTGTTACAAAAATTGTTTTTCTGAGTCTGTTCTTGGATGGCCTATTCTTACAACAACCAGTACTCTTCATCCTTCAAAAATTGTTGGCTCGCATGTATAATAACACAAACATTTATAAGCTGCCCAATCATATTCTTAGAAATGTTTCGAATATAGAACAGGATATATTGCCTTATATCTGATGAAGTATGAAATTTTACCTCTTTGGCCTTACAATTCCAATCAACGCCTGTAACCAGATCATCCCATATAGGCCAATCCCTATCCTTTGGTGACTATTATTGAAAGCATTGTTGAATTTCTTGATAGACATGACTGCTCCTGCTGTGACTAGTAATACAGAGAGTATCTGTTGAACAGAATCAAGTGAAGATCATATAATGACTGTATTAACTTATTTTAGAATGGAAAATACTAGCATTGTGATCACAAATCACAGTTCTTTATTGGAATGAGATCCATCAAAGTGAACCCCATCTATGTGGTTGAAGGATGATCAAAATCCTTCAACTTCATATTTTTATATCCTTTTTGACTTTTTAGAGCTAAACCTCACCTAACTCCTATATTATAATCCATAAACCTGCTAGATTTCAACAATATGGATATTTGGCTATGAGTTTCTAATTAGTTAGAATATGATGATTTGTATCTTTTCTTTCGACACAAGTATTCATAATTATCTGCTTGATCAACTTTTGTGTTAACAAACTTGGGGGCTGTATAAGATATCCAGAATCAGGACCCTTGTGGTTTCCCTTGAACCATCATTAAGCTCATAAAGTATAGAAAAAAAAAATCGTTTGTTTGCTTGTTTGATGAAAAGATAAAGTTAATTGCGTTAATGATGCTTTCCTGCAACTCTCTACATTTATTGTCTGTTTAGTTAAAAAAAAAACACTCTTCTTTATGAAAACAATAACAAAAAAAAGTACTTATTTTAGTATTTGAGAGTATTGCTGGAGAAGATTGTGATGAACAAAGAGCGCAGAGATGAACTTGCCTGTAGAATTGTATGAATGTAAAAATAAAATTTCAGCCTTCTTCCACATTGCTCCCTGCTAGACATTCTGATAACAAGTATCCCAACAGGCATAAGAAACCCCATTGAAGCCCATAGGAGAAACCCATGGAGTGTGATATCAAACAGTAGGCTGGAACTCATCTGTTACCATTATGACCAATAATCAATTTCAGCTATACATTCTTTTTCTGCATTGATATTTCTTTTCAAATATCAAGACATGTAAAATATGAAATGAAAGAAGAGGAAACCTTCTGGCTGTGGTCTTTCTTGCTTGTATGGAAGTTTTCGTTTTTGTAGGGCTGTTGGGATGAGCTGACTGGTTGAAATGTGAGAAGGAGGAGGAGAAAAAGTATTGAACTTGCAGGGATGGAGAAAGGAAACATTCTCTTCTGTAAAAAGAGCATTGTTTATTTTGCTCCTGATGGAACAAGCTCCAAGCACAATGCAGAAGCCACCCGCGTTGGCTGCTTATTTGTTTGCTATGGATTTCACAAGCCATCTTGAAAGCTTTTGTAGCAATGAGGAAAAAGGAATAAGCAGAACAATGTCAGAGGAGGACCACTAATGGTGGTGGTCAATAATGCCTAAAGTGGACACTGGACTAAGAGGTACTTGATTTTTCTCAAGAAATACAACTACTCTATCTCTCTCTCTCTTCCCTCCCCCAAGATTATGTACATATCCCCAGTAACCCCAAGTCCATCGTTAGTAGATATTATCCTCTTTAAGTCTCAAGGTTTGTAAAACACGTCTACTAGGGAGAGGTTTCCACACCCTTATAAAGAATGTTTCGTTCCCCTCTATAACCGATGTGGGATCTCACAATTCACTTCCCTTCGAGGCCTAGCATCCTCGCTGGCACCCGTTCCTCTCCCCGATGAACAAAAGTTAGAAGTTTGATCCTGAATGATTAGAAAACTAAAGTGGGCTGTCAGTTTTTTTCTTTCCTCTCAGTTTCTCATATGATCTAGAAAGCAAAAGAAAAAGTGGGAAAAATGTTTGAAAGTTGGTGATACTATAAACATTTTTTAGTATAAAAATTTCAAGGTCTTGGGGGAGGGTTAGTATAGACAAAGTTTTCAACCATGTGGGGTTCACTGTGAAATTTGATATCATTTTTTGCGGTATGAAAGGAAGAATGTAATGGGATTTTGCAGCAAAATAGTTGGGACTTTCAATAATAGAAGAAAATATGAGCCTGAAAATGAAAGTGGGTTGTTAGTGGATACTGCTCAGAACATTATCTTTTGTTGTCCACTGTGGTCTCTTGTGAACACATACGCCACAGTCGCCCCACACACACACACATACACGCACTCAAGAAAGTTGTTTGTTTCTATTTAGCTGAACATTCACGGGTGTAGTGTTATATTGGCGCTGAACTAATTGCTCTTTATTTGTCAATAGAATCTCTTCCAATCTTGCATCATCTTCAGTCACCATTTTTGTTTTTCTTTCAGTCATTCTGCTGTTATTTAACCATAAATTACTATTTCCTTCCTTCTTTTGTAGGCTTTATTCGAATTGCAATATGTCGTTATCAAGGGTAGAGGTGGTGTATAGCTGAATGGACGAATGTCTTGTACAGGTAAATCGCCACTGGTTGAAAATATATAGATGGTTAACAAGTGGAAATTTGTGAGATCTCACGTTGGTTGGAGAGGAGAACGAAACATTCCTTATAAGGGTGTGGAAGTCTCTCCCTAGTAGACACGTTCTAAAATCATGAGATTGACACGGGCTAAAGTGGACAATATCTGCTAGTAGTGGGCTTAGGCTGTTACAAATGGTATCATAGCCAAACACTAAGCTCTTAAGGGGTGGATTGTGAGATCCTACGTTGGTTGGAGAGGGGAATGAAATATTACTTATAAGGGTGTGGAAACTTCTCCCTAGTAGATGCGTCTTAAAACCGTGAGGCTGACGACGATACGTAATGGATCAAAGCGGACAATATCTAAATGACCACCGAACTCAATTATGGTAAATTCAATAATTTGAAATAATTAAACATCACGAGCTCAATCTTCCTCCTTCACATGTCAATAAATGGACCTTAATCGTAGCAGTTGACTTTTTACCAACTAGAACAAAATTTCACACCCGAAAAGGAAAAGACAAAAAGTTGCTCCATAAGCTACACGACTCTAAATTTAGTTTTATTTGACAGTGAAAGTTTAGAAGATTAGCAACGATAAATCAGTAAAAAAAGAAAAAGCATCTTTACTTTTCAAAATTGCTAATAGATTCAATTGTTCATTATGATTAATGTATAGTCTTTTTTTAACTCACAGACCAAAAAAGAAGCATGAAGATCTATAAAGGCGAGGTGGGTAAGAAAAAAGTTGGGTCTATCCAAATTATCTTTTTACTGTTGGTTGATTCTTTTTGACAATATATTGTTAATTAGTGGCTTTGAACCCGTGATTGTAATTGCTAATCCAGGCAATTAAATTAACCTTCTTGTAATCATTCAACAAAAGCATATACTAAAGAAGAAAAATAGGGTAATTTTAGTTACATCAAATCTCAATATAATTCCATAATGTATTGTAGACAGAGAGTTCTTCTGAATATGTAATCCAAATGGTAAAATTCAGAGATTTTAGGATAATTTAGTTTCTTTTGTGGGTCAAATTAGAGAGACAACTTTGTCCACTTTTATGATAATATTTTGCCAACAATATTCATTTATTAGCTGATAAGAAGTATGCATGCATGGTTTGTTCTAATGTGAGTAAATAATAGTTATGGTATTTTATCTTTTAAGGTATTAACACGAGCATAGTTCAATTGATATGATTAAGAAGTCAAAAATCCAAATCTCTCGTAGTTAAAGCTAAAAGAACTTTTTGATAAAGTTGTATTTATTTCGTCCTTACATTTTAAAATATTCTTAACCAATGAAAGAAATTATATTATTTAAAAAATTCTCAAAAGGGATGATTGGCAAAATTTGAGTTTGAAGTTTAATCAAGTAGTGATTAGCATCATCTAACTAACTACTAGAACACCTTTTCTCTCTTTGTCTCTTTAATAAAGGAAACCAAAATACTTGATTGAATATAATGTCTTGCCCACATGTTTATGAGATTATTAGTTCATGTTTATTAAAGTTTTAAAATGGGTCCAATTTAGTTCGAAGTTTGTGTTTAAAAGTTTATACGCTTTAATATTTAATAGGTCTCTAGACTGTATAACTTTAAAAATATCTAATTAGTTTGGAAATTCTATGATAAATTTAGTTGATATACTAAACTTGTAATTTAACCAAGACTAAAGTATGAATTTTAATAAAATTACTTAATTTCAAACTTCAATGAAAGATGCACATTTAACTATAAACTCTCTCTATTGCAGTGACAAATGAAAAAGGATAGTAGCAAACATCCAAAATGACATTTAATCATCAAGTTTCCATAAAGGCCTACCTTTTGAGTTGTTCTAGCTAACTAGCTTTTGAGAGAAATATGACATAACAATACATACACGTTGAAAAAGAATGATAGAGAGAGTGCTAAAATTTTTCTTTTAGTTCAACGACGTGTGAAGTGATGGGAGTCAAATATCTAAGTCTTGGTCGATAATCTGTCTTAATCGGTTCTACATTAGGGTTGATACAAAAAATATATGTGGGAGAGCACGTGAACAATTAATTATGTTTTTTTTATAAACAAGGACTAAATACCTCGCATTTACTTTATAAATATATATATATAAACTTTAAATTTTGACCATTCTAATTAATTTCTTCTCTTCCACTCATTTTTATCATATTTCTTTTGAACATTAATCTAAAGTTTAAACAGAAAAAGAAAAAGAAAAAAAGGGAAAGGAAGTTATTATTGTGTTATTGTTCATCATGAATAAAAAGAAAAGTTGGTGCAAATGATTCAACATGACATCAAATTGATATTTTACCTAAGTTCTTATGATTAGATTAATGACTTAAATTTTAAATTTTAAGATGATGGAGAACTTTATAAGGCTGATTAAGTTGATTATTAAGAGTTAAGAAAATTTGGGTATTTTGTAATTATGAAAAAATTATGAATTTTGCAATTTCTGTAACGAGCCCATTTCTGTACTTTTCAAATTGGGCTATCTTCTTGCTTTATGGGCCTGTGACAAAGAGCCCATTTTGCAATTTTCCGAATGGACCCATTTCTATACTTCAAATTGGGATATCTTCTTGCTTTATAGGCCCATGAAAAAGCCCATTTTGCCATTTCTGAATGGGTCCATCTGTACTTTTCAAATTGGGCTCTCTTGCATTATGGGCCCATGAAGCCCATTTCCAATTTCTGAGATTGATCGACAATCCATAAACCAACTCAACCAACTCAATTTCACTGACACAAATAGTTAACTCAATTTCACTGGCACAAATAGTTCAGGGGAGAGAAAATTGAGTTATCATGAGGATTGACCGGAACGGCTACTTTTCGGATACGAGATACAATTTTAGTCTAGTCATTATGGATGTATTTGCCCAAATGACTCGTCTAAAGGAATTAATGTTGGACTTATTAGATCAATGTTGGACTTATTGTGTCAGTAGCAATCTTTGACCGGTCATTCGAGATTGATTTATTGGATCATTAGCATTATTTGATTGGTCACTGGGGATCTCTAGAAAGTCTATTTTATGAGCCTTGCGCAGAAGATGAACGGGGCTTGGCTTGGGGATCTCTAGAAAGTCTATTTTATGAGTGCTCTTGCGCAGAAGATGAACGGGGCTAAGCAATCCGTCAAAACTGTAGGAGGTAAAAATGCATCACAAAATTCTTATTTATTTAAACTCAACCAGTTTGTTAATGTTATAATATTGGTTTGATCAAGATCATCCCTACTAACTAACCAAAAAAATTCATGTACAAGAAAACAGATCAAATAGAACAATCAATTTAGTTGGATTCGGTTGGCAAGAGACAATATCCCTTTTGAATTAGGCCAAACTCATGAGAGAAGAAAATTTTACTTAAAAAAATCACTGCATGATTGAAATGTTTTGAGACCAAATACCAAATAAAACAATTCAAGACTGCAATTTCCAACAATTCAGAAACAAACCCTTAAAAATTTGCTTTAAATTAATCCAACCAAAATTGTCAAAATCACCTCACAACCTCCAAAGAAGAGTAACAATTGTGCAAGAAAAACGAAAGGTTTTTTCTTTTTCTTTTTTTTTTTTTTTGTGCAGAAATTTCATCTACTTCTCCAAGTTTCTATAAACTACCCATGTCAATAATAAAGAGAAGATAAAGATGAGCAGAATTACATGAACAAGTTGGGCCTAGATGCCTTGTATGTCGTCTTGAGCTTCCTGGTGGGTGGCCTCACCTTCTTAAACACCAAGGGGAATTTGATCTTTGAGTCATGGAACTGCTTCGTACTTTCCCTCTTGCAGAGCTTTGCAGGAACAGTCGCTGTCTTAATGATTTGGATGCACGGGCTCCTAACCCTATGGCGCGAAGCCATCTCGGTATACATCTGCTCGACAGCACCGTTCAATGTCGTGTCCCGATACTCCTTGTACATGTTGTGGTAACCAGTTCGGCTCTGGTACCGCAGCCAAATGCCATAGTTATTGATCTTGGTTGGGTTCTTTTCAAAGATCTACAAATTGCAATATGAACACGAGAAGATTATTGATTGTATTATGATTTAGAACATGGAGCAACGTAAGAAGGAACTAAGCGAGTAATAATACCTCATTAATGGCAAGAATTTGACCATTGCTCTTCTTAACTTTCTTCAACTTCCTCAAAAAGTACCTATCCAGATGCGAGGATGAAAAGAACATGGATCAAGCTACACAGATTCCTTCAAAATCTCGTGAATTTGTAGAAAGAATCACGTCGAAAACAACAAATCCACTAATAAACCTTGGACTATAGAATCAAGATCAGCATAACGATTCGAACTCTCGTTCTTCCGCTACATTTTCTCCCGAACAACTAAACAAAACGATAGATCAACATTGACGGATTGAAGAACATACCAGAACTTGGATTTGGCGCGGACCTCGTTGGTAGCCCAAAGTTTCATTCGATAGATCTTCGGATGCTCATCCGCTTCAGAAGGAAGAGCCCTCCCCACGACCTGGTACTGATGAAACTGCGAAAGAGAAAAAAAAAAATGAAAAAACAGATCAAAACCTAGCAAATTCACTTCCAATTGGGAGATGCGAATCCAATGAACAACTAGAACGCATTCTTATCACAGAAGAAAATGTTACAAAAACAATTATGGAAAAGAAAATTCGAATCGAGAAGATTTGAGTGTTCATATTCTTACTCTGAATGTGACCATCTTGAACTCGAGGATCTGAGAGAGATCGGCACCGGTGCTTTGATTTGATCCCCTCGACGCCCGATACCCGAAATGCTGCAAAGCTTTAGACTCGTGTTGAGAGAACGAAGTAAAACCCTAAACTGCTACTCCACAACTGGGCCGAACAAGTGTCTAACCGGCCCGGCCCATTTGAAATGTCTGAATTATTCATTTGTGGCATGTTCAAATGTATATGAATTTCAATTTAATTTCAATTTAATTTACTGGTATAAACTTATAGTTAAGGCTTAATTTCAATTTCAACTTCGAATGTATATGAATTTCAATTTAATTTCAAACAAAGTCAAATTTAACATATAAATAGAGATTTGAGTCGTCCAAATAAGTATTTAAAAGGGCTTATTTGATAATAAAGTACGTGATAAATCATGTTGATGTCGAGCTGAGCTAAAATAGTTTGCATACATTATCGTTCGTTAGATAGAGAATTGCTAAACCTATAGTAATTTGATGTACCTCATTAGTTGGAGCGAAAATGCACGTGTCTCAAGTTGAGATAAAACTCGAAAGTCCATACCCTCCACGTATGGTCGGTGTTCCTCCTCGTCTCACCGACAGGGGACTGACTTATGAAGTTCGAGGTTGCTCCATAACATAAATAACAAAACATAGATATAAATATACACCAAAATAGAAAATTTAACACAAACTAAATTTGAAACTTTTAAATCATAGGGATCATCTGTATCCACCACAACACCAACCCTTCACTCACTTACACTCCCGCCCTGCTCTTCATATTCTTGTAATATTTGACTCTTTCGCTTCGTTCCGAACACCGAGTCGTTCAATGGTAGCAAAATCATTTCCTCATTGTTCACCCGAACCAACGGCTTCAATTTGCTCTTGCTCGTCCCGACATTTAGAATTCAGGGCACCATCTTATCTAGACTAGTGATGAGCTTGGACGGTCAGAATTCGTGTTTTGACGTTATAATATTGGATGGAGATGGTTCAGCAACTGGTTTGGGTTCAAGTGTCTTCTCGTATTCCTCGATGGATTTGAAGAGCTCCGAGAAGTTTCCTTTTCCAAAGCCACCACACCCTCCTTTCTGATACACTTTCCCCTCATCGTCCTTCATCATGCATCCCACTCTCTGGATTATCTCAATAAATATGGTGGGTCTGCACACAAATATGTATATGAACTTATGAGCTATATGGATTAAATCTACCAACACATGACCAAAATACAATAAGTGTAAATAAAATATCACGTACTACAGCTTTGATTGGTTAGAAACACCTATGCCTATAGATCTATGCTACCACTGACGGGATCATCATCGACCTCGAGAAAACAGGACAATTTTTATGAGATCTCGTATTGGTCGGGAGGAAAATGAAGCATTCCTGATAAGGGTGTGAAAACCTCTCCCTAGCAGATGAGGGGAAACCCGGAAGGGAAAGCACAAAGAATACAATATCTACTAACGATGGGTTTGAGTTGTTACAAATGGTATCAGAGCTAGACATCGGTGGCAGTGTGGTAGTGAGGACGCTGGCCCCCAAGGGAGTGGATTGTGAGATCACACATTAGTTGGAGAGGAGAATGAAGCATCATTTCTCGTAAGGGTGTAGAAACCTTTCTGTAGCACAACCTTGAGAAAAAGCGTGGAAGGGAAAGCCGAAAGAGAACAGTATTTGCTAGGTGTGGGTTTGGACGGTTACAATTTCACTACGACCTTTGTAGCTCAAGAGCGAAGGAAGCCTGGGAGGGAAAGTCCAAAGAGGGAAGCTAAGCCTAAAAAGGACAATATATGATGCTTGTGGACTTGAGCCGTTACAATTTCACTACAGCCTTTGCAGCTCAAAAGTGAAGTAAACCCGGAAAGGAAAGTCCAAAAAGGGAAGCACGGAACGGAAAACCTTCCTACGGAGACAATACCTGACCGTTGTGGGCTTGGGCTATTACAATTTCACTAAGAACTTTGCAGCTCAAAAGCTTATAGGGAAGCAACCAAGCAATGTTATATACAGAGACTACAACTATGAAGATATAATATGGAAAAATTCAGCAAAATTTTGAAGTAGTAATGAAGATAGCAGAGGAAAAAACGCCCTGGTTTTTAAGAAAAGCAATTAATCACGTACCGATCTCCCACAGGTTTGGTGAAGATCTGAAGCAAAGTTCCTTGATCATCTCTATCCACCAGAATCCCCAATTCTTCACACTCCTTAATCTGTTCATCCGTCAGCACATCTCCCGCCCTGCTCTTCAGATTCTTGTAATACGTCGGTGGCGGCGTCGGCATGAACTCGAATCCACCACCGCCACTTTGCTTCCTCATCTCCCTCAAGGTTCTGAAAATATCCTCACTCATCAATGCCAAATGCTGAACTCCTGCTCCTTCATTGTGCTCCAAATACGTCTGGATTTGACTCTTTCGCTTCGTTCCGTACACAGGCTCGTTTAATGGTAGCAAAACCGTTTCCTCATTGTTCGCTAGAACCACCGAATTCAATCCGCTCTCGCTCGTCCCCACGTCCTCCGCAGTGAACTCTGCAAACTCGTGGAATCCAGTAAATCCTTTCAAGTAAGAGACCGCCGGTCCCAACTCCGTCAAATTTCCGACTGCATGGTCCAGTTTTCGAATCCCGAAATCGAGCGAATACGAAGAATTCTCCTCCATGGCCTCGAATTTTGGCAAGAACCATACGTCTGGTTTGTTCTCGCCATCATCGCTAGGAACAGGATTTTTGTAGCTAATGTAACGCAAAACGACGTCGCCGTACAAGTGGACTTCAGAGACAACGGCGCGATTTTCGAGAACAATCGGAGGGCACGAATGTTTCGCGCCGTGTGCGACGCTGGTTCTGAATGCGATCTCGGCGTCCTCGACCTCTAGAGCGATTGCTCGAACGCCTAATCCGTGTCTACCGGCGAAGGCACGGCAGGCGGAATGGTCGAAACTAGGAATCGAAGCAGTAGATTCCGGACTGAGGTTTGCGGCGGCAGCAATGTAGGGCGAATAAGGTGCGGTGAGGAGGAAGCAAAGCTGGCCGGAGCGGAGAAGATAAGAAGCATGAGTCATATTTCCAGTGGAGAGATCCGATTTAGCCACAATCGGCATACCAAGACCCCAGGAGAATCTCTTAGCGGCGTTTGTAGCATCGGTGCACCAGAACTCAACGTGATGGAACCACTTAACCTTAAACCGATCCGACTTCGGATTCGTTCGAACGAAGTTCCTGAATCCTTTAAGCGTGAACTCCGACTCGGCAGTGATTCCATCCGCTGCTGCCGCCGTCGCCGTCGCCTCCGTCAGAGCTCTGGCCTTTTCGACATCTTTCTCCATGGCGCTGCTTCAGTGTTTCTTCTCCTCCTCTTTTGTGTGTTGTGGAAATGGAAATATCCCGTGGATCACGGGAAGATCATATACAAGGAGTGATCTTTTCCACGTGGCGTCTTATAATTGGCACACATTGTTTCTCTAATAGCCACCTTGACACGTGGGCTTAAGTTGTCTGGAATACCGACGTGGCAAGTATTATCGAATGCCAGGACGTGCTCAGGCAAAAGAATTTTTTGGCGCGTTGGCGCGTGGTGTCAGTACCGTGACGGAGAAATTTATGAGTCCGTGAGAAAAAAAAAAAAAAACGATAGATTGCTAAAATATTAGTATTAAATTTTTTTATATAATATCTTTTTATAAAATTTAAAATCAAAACTATTAACGGTCAATTATAAAGTTTCCATTTATGTATGAACATCGGATCGACCAATATAACGACATTTATATACATTCATAAAGTTGTAACGAAAGATTGTCGATGACAAATTGAACAGATTGCAGCTCATTTGAACTTCTATTTGTCGTGAAGACGTTGTCTTCCCCTCCTTCACCTTCTCATCCAATCAATTTCACTTATCATCTATTAGTGAGATTTGTGAGAATGCTCTCGGGATCAATACTGGAAGCAACTAGAAACTCTAGGCTAACCTCTCGATAAACGAGACATTCTCTTTATTTGACCTAAACTAGCATCATATTGGTGTGTCGTATTAGGCACCAATTCATCCCTTATTTGACCTAAAATTGAACCGAAACATCGTAGGCGTTACACTATTGATGTACTTAAATTTATCACAACCCGTCAACTTAAAATTTAATATACATGGAATTAACCTTAAAATCGTAAATCATCAACAACCGTCGTCGATAAATTCATGAGCTTGATCGACGTTGAAACAAGTATCTCGATGATACGTTACGAGAATAATAAAAATAAAAATTTTCAAATACATTACAAAATTAGCGCGCTACAAAATGTGGGTTGGATTTTTTATTCATGTCCTATTGGGCCTTTTTATTTTGTTATTGGGCCTATTGGGCTTAGGAGAAATGGGCCTTTCCAATACTTAGTTGATGAGTAGTGGCATTTTGGTCATTTTGGTCAAAATGGAAATTTGGATGAGGTTAGAAGATGGAAGGAGAGTTACCTAATAATTAGTTGATGAGTGGTGGCATTTTCGTCATTTTACAATCCCAACTTGCTCAATTTTTTATTTATTTATTTATTTCAAAGTAGAAAGTTTGAAAAAGTTGGAGGAGCAGTTGAGGCAGAAAATTTTGATGCAAAGAATATTATATTATAAAATAATAAAAATAAATAAATACTTACATTTTGACTAAAATCATATTTTAAAAAATAATTTTTAAAATTTTTTATTTTAGAAACAAACTTCTTGATATTTTAATTTTTATATATTTTTAAAACTTTTTTTTTCTTCTCAATTTATTAAAAACTATGAAATTTATTCAATTAATTTTTTAAAAATTCACAAATAAACCCTAATTTTTCAATAAGTCTAGACGTGACGATTTTACTGTATGGTTGTCTGTTCCCAAAATTTCTAGAAATAAGTCTAAACGTTCGACGACTTTAGTACTATATGTCAGTCGCAGTAATAATGATGATTATGACGGGTCATTCTTTCTTTTAAAATTGTCATATCTAAATTATAATTAGTTAAAAAATAAAAAATAATGGTAATTACGAGAAGAAATGAAGTATATACCGAATTAAATATAGGGCTAAAAAATCTTTTAAAGGTAGGCGCCGAATATGCATAGTAATATCTTCCATTAAAATGGTGGCATATGCATGAATTTGCAACCAAAAGTCTTCCATCAAAATCAAACCTTTTTTTTTTCTTTTTTTTTTGTGTCATTTTTTTCAAAAGGTGCATTTCTTCTACAAAATGTAATAAATGTAAATAAAAATATAGATTATCAAATTTTAGTTCTTATAATTTTTTATTTTAAATCTATCTTCTTTTCGCGATCGTCTTTAACTTATTTGACACGAGATTGTGTTCACCAATAATTTGTTAAAATTGATTGAAAAAATAAAAACTAATTAAAATAGTTATTATTTTAATTTAAATATTAAATTAATAGAGACCAAAATATAATAAATTTAAAATTTTATTTTTATAAACTCGCATTATTTTTAAATACAACAATCAAGAGTAATATTAAAAAGATTACATGCATTAAAAAAAATTTTGAATTCTCGATATAAGTCCCATCTCAGCTAATTTAGAGGATAATTATGAGTTTATAATCACCACTCGATGTGGACAATATCATACCATTGTGAAGAGTCGTGTTCATTTAACTTATATATTATTCAACTTCTCTAAATTTTCCTCATGAAAAGTTTTGTCAACAATAATTATGACTCTGTCCCTCTATTGTATTTTCAATCCAAACACAAAATTTAAGTTTAAAAAGCACGTGGGGATTTGAGTGAGCTGTTCTTTTCCAACTTTTAGAGCTTGATAGGCTTGTATCACGTTTTCCTTTCTTTCTCTATTTTCGTTTTTTTCGCACCTAAAAAAAGCAACTTATTAACTTTTTCCATTTTTGTATTTTAATATATATATATATATATATATATATATATAATTAAAAATAATAATTTGGAATCAAAATAAAAAAAAATATTTTTATTTTATCATTAACCTTTAATTAAAATTAAACAATTAATTTCAAAATAAATAATAAATAACAAATTAAAACAACGATGTATTATAGTTTATTTAATATTTTAATTAAATTTAAATTTTAACAACTCTACATTTGTACTCGTGTTTTGTTAGCTAAATAATAATAAAATTTTAAAAAAATGGAAACGACAAATGAACCAACATATTAATTAGTTTTTTTTTTTAATCTTTAAATTTGGAATTGGTCGGTTGTGGAGAAAGAACAAAAATCTAATTTCTTTTTCCTCGACTTTATATATAAATAATATTTTATTTTATTTCCGTAAAATATAAATAATAATTCATTAATTCATTAACACCATTTAAAAATAGATCCATAATTTATCGAAAAAAGAAAAACAAATCGTTTTTAATTAAAATTAATCCAATTATTTATTTACTACAATATCTAATTATGGTAATATTTTTTTTAATTAATAAAAAAATAATTCTTTAGAGAAATTTACAAAAGTAGTCAAAGTTTTCAAAGGGCTAACAACGTTTTTTTGCTGCTTATTTCACATTATTCCCACCTTTTATTTTATTAAAATATTGCCCTTTATGTAATTTTTAAATTAATTTTTATTCTCATATTTAAACTAATAATCAATATTTTATTTATTGAAATGTGCACCGATTAATTAATTTTTAGCATTTTGACTCTACAAATTTTTGGACGATATTATTTAACGTTCGATTCGAATAATTTTGTCGTTTTAATTATGGTTAATTAACATATATATTTTTAACTACAATTACTAAAATAAATAATTAATTATATTACCATAAAAAAATTTACTAAAAAGTACATATTTTTGTAATTGAAAGTGAAATATAATAATTTCAAAAGGTTAGAATGTTATATTCAAAGGAATTTAATTATTTCTTTATTTAATATGATTTTTTTTTTAAAAGTTAATTAATATTTGTCCTCTTAAAACCCTTCAGCATTAAATGCTCCTCCAAGCATTCCATTCAACAAAGAAGCAAAAAAATTATTGAGTTGAATTTATTGGTATTTATAATAATAATAATAATATTGGAATTCATTAATTGCTTGGAAGAATAAGGTATGAAATTGAGATATATGACAAAAAAAAACATTAAATATTATATTTGACCCAAAAAAATCTAAAGCAAAATGTATATGAAAATTCAGTCATTTATCTTTAAAAAATTCTATAAATAATTAAATATACACCAATTTCAATATCTTACTATTATTAAATTTGTCTTATCCAAAATTATACTTAAAATATTCTTTAACCTTTTTGAATAATATATGTTTATAATTTTTTTTGCGACTAAAAAGTCAAAATTCTCTTGAGAGACGTTTCTTTTTTAAGAAATTTACGATTTCATCAATTATGAAGCTAGACACGGATAAAAATGAATTAATATTATTAATAATTATTATATTACGAGAAAATTAGCTAACAAAAATCATATAAAAAAATCATGTTGTTGGAAATAATTATTTACAATATATATATATATATATATATATATATATATATTATATATTCATTTTATTTATTTATTTATTTGGTAATAAATCTATAAAATGTGGTCAAAATGTTGAATGAGTCAATGAAATTGACAATAAAATTAAAATTTGTAAGTTTGTCATGAGAAAAATGATACACACCAATCGGCAATCAAATTGAGAAGACATAAATAATTGGTGCAACTTTTCATGACAACTCATTTGGAAATGAATGACCGTTGAAAAATTGATTTTTTAAAAAAATATATTTATGGTAATAATAAGGTTTTTTTTTTTTTTTTTTGAAATTTATTGTATGATCTATTTTAATAATGAAAGTGCTATAAAACGAAAGAATAGTTAACGTGTATCGGGTTTTATCCTAATCATATAATATATAGTTATTTTTTTCGACGGGAGATTGTATTTATAATTAAACGAGCAAAACTAGTAGTGTTTGGAGGTTGGATTAGGTCCGATTGACCAAATCCAATTGGTCGACATCTCAAATAATCTTTATTGAATAATAAATTTGACTCCACCCAACTATAAAATATTTGAGTTTGGATAGTTCGAATTGTTCGGTCATTTATTCAAATTTTTAGTTTTAATAAATTTACTTGTTCGTAAAATATATATGAGTGAAAATGTATTTTACAAAATTAATAATAAATTTATAATTCAACTAAAATCATACGAATTGAGTTGGGTTGATCGAGTTTTTTGCGTCATCGGGTTTTTTTGAATATATGTAAGTAAAATTATGGAGGATGCACGTGAAAAAGTTGTCGAAGTGGGATGATTGGTCGTATTATAGTGTGAATATAAACGTACGTGTTAGATGTCAATCTAATCATATAATATAAAAGGTTTGTTTATCGAGATCAAAAGGACATGACCGGAGATCCTACATTTGTATGGGCATAGACGTAATCGATGTCGGCTCACCATATAAGACATTAAAAAAAAGGAAATTTTTGGAAGTGAAAGGCTAAATGTTTTTCTTAGGTTTTGAAATGGGAGAGATGGGTACAAAAGTAGGCACCGTCTTTAATTGACACACCAAATTTTTGATAGACAAAAAAAAGGAGAATTTGATCACTTTCTTTGGCTCTTTGGCTTTCTTTTAGTTTACGCCTTTGACTTCTAATTTCCCACTCTTGTTTTAAATTTTATTTTATTTTTTTGGTTAAGTTTTATTTTAGTGTTTTAAAATTATTTTATTTTGTGATGTCCCACATTGGTCGGGGAAGAGAATAAACCACACTTCATAAGTGTGTGAAAAGCTTGAGGGGAAGCCGGAAAGGGAAAGGTCAAAGAGGACAATATTTGGGATCGAAAGAGAAAGCCCAAAGAGGACAATATCGGCTAGCGGAATAGGATAATATCTGCTGGCAGTGGATCTGGGAAGCCCGAAAGGGAAACTCCAATATTTGCTGGCGGTGGATCTGGGTCGTTACAAAAATTTCCAGACTATAAATATTTATTTTAAAAATTACATTGCCCGATGTGCATGGAATGCTTCATTTTCCAACCGATGTGGGACCTCATAATCCTCCTGCCTTGGGGGCTCAATGAGCGTCTGCCCGATGTGCATGGAATGCTTCATTTTCCAACCGATGTGGGACCTCATAATCCTCCTGCCTTGGGGGCTCAATGAGCGTCTTTGTTGGCACAACGGCCGATGTCTAGCTCTGATATTGTAACATTCCAAGTCTTCCTTCAGAGATTTTAAAATGCATCTAGTAAGAGGAGGCTTCCACACCCTATTGCTCGTTTTTCCTCCATTTGTAACAGCTCAAACTCACTACTAGCAGATATTGTCTCTTTGACCTGACGTCAGCCTCACGATTTCAAAACATGTTTACTAGGGAGATGTTTCCACACTCTTTGAAGGAATGTTTCGTTTTCCTCTCCAACCTGGGAGACTTCACAATGGCTCGAGTTAATAAAACTATTTTCGTATTAATATATTTTTGTATTTGTTCAAATTATTTATTAAATATTCGAGATTTTAAGTATAAAACGACGATGTAAATGGATAAACTCGTGAAATCGAGGTTCAATCTCTCATTTTCACAATTTTATATTAAAAATAATAGTTTAATTCACCTTTGAGGATTTGAGGATTTACCAATCTAGTGGCACGACTAGGTTTAGGGCATGGTTCTGATACCATGTTAGACGAACACGGCTCTCCACAATGGTATGATATTGTCCACTTTGAGCATAAGCTCTCATGGCTTTGCTTTGGGCTTCCCCAAAATGCCTCGTACCAATGGAGTTAGTATTCCTCACTTATAAACCCATGATTACACCCTAAATTAGTCGATGTGGGACTTCCATCATCCAACAACTGGCACACCGCCTCGTGTCTACCCCCTTCGGGGAAGAGCCTCTTCACTGGCACATAGTTCGGTGTCTGGCTCTAATACCATTTGTAACGGCTCAAGCCCACCGCTAGCAGATATTGTCCTCTTTAGGCTTTCCTTCAAGACTTGAAAATGCGTCTGCTGGGAAAATGTTTCCACACCCTTATAAACCGAGTTTCGTTCTCCTCCGCAACAGATATCACAATTAATATGAAATAAAAATATAATAGTTTGGCTAAATACAATATTTTATTTTTTAAAAAATATAGTGTAAATTGAAAAAATGTTGGAACATTAAAAATTAAATCATACACTTAGCCAAAAATTTGTTGTAAATAAATATTTACTTAAAAAAGGTTTTTTTAAAAAAGAATTAAAAAATGCTTAAAGCATTTATTAAGTATGGAGGGAAGTTTTCAAAAAATAGAAGCTTAAAGCATTATATTAAATATAAATATATATATTAAATACGAAAGGAATTTTTCAAAATGAATTATAAGACCGAATATAAAAGGAGAAAAACATGAAAAGGAAGTTCATAAAAACTACGTAGTGTGAAAGTCTAGGGCGTTAGACTAGAGAGGATTTTCGGTTTCCGCTTTCCACAATTGCTGCTTCCCGCCTCAGATTATCTCTTCGCTTCGATTTCTGTAGCTCCATAGACGAATTTGAGGAGAATTTCAGAGTTTATACCGTCTTCATCTGATTTTATATAGCGATTATATTGATCGGTCGATCGATTTCCTCTTCGTCTTCATCTGATTTTATATAGCGATTATATCGATCGTTGGATCCATTTCCTCTTAGTCTTCATCTGTTTTTGTATGACGATTCAGTATTCTTCTGCTTCAAGTAATCGTCATAGTTAGATTTCTTCGTTTTTCGGCAAAAGAAGATGAAGTCCTGTTCATCGGAGAGAATCGGAGTTAGACAGTATAATAAATCGGAACTGCCGCGGCTGCGGTGGACGCCGGAGCTTCATCGGTACTTCGTTCAGACCGTCGAGATCCTTGGCGGAAGAAATCGTAAGTTGTATTTATTAGGTTTGTTTACTTTCATCACGCTTTGAAACAGAAAACTGTTTCAGAAAGAGTGTATGCGTCCGTATTGGAATCTTGATTGCTTTTTTCTGAAATCTGACTTGTTGCAGAAGCAACGCCGAAAAGAATCCTGCAAATGATGGGAGTGAAAGGACTGAAGATATCACACATAAAGAGCCATTTACAGGTGCTTTTCAATTAAATTTTGATAAACGCTAATTTTCCATCGCTATCGTTCGCACGAGTGATTATTTCTTTGTATTACTGATACATTTTCTCGTCAATTCATTAAAAAAAAACCTCTCCGATTTTTTAAAATCTATTTATAGTTCCGGTACGATCATGCTTGATTCAGTATTTGGATGGTGAATTGATACCAAAACAAATACAGACGAATTAAGGTCTTGTTTGATTAGGTCTTATTTAATCCTTCAACTGGATGTTTCCGTTTACAATTTGGAGTTTGTGACTTGTATAACCTGTTAGAGTCTGCTGATCTCATAAACCTACCACAAATCATAGTTTAAAAAAAGAATAAGCACATTTTATACGGGATCTATACAAACCAAGCATGTTTGTTAAGTAGATTTGAACTTTCTAACTCCTAATTACACAAACTCAAATTTGATTTGTTAAACCTAATGAGCCGAACATGAAAAGTATTTTCATAACCGGAAAAGACAAATTATGAATAAAAAATTCCGAGAAATTTACTCAAATATTTGAACCAAGCCGTGTAAACTCTCTCTCTAAATGTGAAAATGGCATTAAGCCAAACAGACTAAGACGATAAGAATAGTAGTAGCTTCCTAGGTAGGATTTGAACATTGTATTAATTAAGTTTTGGTTAGGTACATTCCATACAGCGGGAGAGAAAAGTAGGCTTTAATTCAATTAAATATGAAAATAAAGACAAAAGAAGTAGAATCATTACGAGTTCGTGCATGGCGACGCTACTCATTTTTAATCATGAGTCGTAAATAAGCATTATTCTTTGTGAGTGTGTACATAGCTTTTTGTATTCTAGTAAAATTGTTGTTCTTCATTATTTTTCATTTTTTTATTCATTATCTATCCATTTTGGGCAGATGTACAGAAGTATGAAACTAGAGCAGGGCAGTAGTAGTAGGTTCGAGGATGTAGTGCTGAAACAAGCCACGAAGCAGACAAGAGGAACAACGCTGCACTCTTCTGATATCAAAATCTTCTTATCTTCGGTCTCCTCTTCAAGTGGGTATGTTCATCAATTTTCTTCCTCTAATCATTTACCGCCGTTATAATGACCGTAAAAATCGTTTCATTTTGTTTGCTCCCATTTAATAATCATCGGGACTTTGTTAGATGACTTTTTTTTTTTTTAATTATTTAAAATTAAATTTACAAAGTATTTTTATTCACAATTTTTTTTTTCATTTTGTTATCAATAATTTAAAAAATCAAGTAAAGTTTTAAAATTAAGAAATGTAGTTTTTAAAAATTTGTTAATTCAATTTTTTTTTTTTGAAGAAAGGAAAAATCGACCATAAAAAAATTGAAAAGAGTCGAGTATAAATTTCAATAACTGAAATTCTTATCATAGTTTGTTTTCTATTTTTCATTTTTCATCGTTGAATGTTAAATTTATAATTTTTTTTTATTATTTTGCTATCTAAAAATTTTTAGGGATGTTTTCAAAATTGAATTCAATAATTTAAAACTAAAAAAAAGAAATTAGTTTTTAAAAACATGTTTTTAAAAAAATTTAAGGAATCACCGTATTATTTAGATAAGATAGAACATTATAAAAAAATCTAAATGGTTACAAACGGTATTTCAATATGAATTATAACTTTTTTTTTAATAAAATGGTTTTGTCGTATTTTGTAATTATTTTTGGAAACTAATACGTATGTAGACCGTTATATACTATCGATTACATGCATGTGGCTTCAAAAACTTATTTAATTAATTTCGATCTAGTTGTCTTCGACTTCCATTGCCTCCCCTATCTGTTTATTTCTTTAATTTGTTTTGCGAAAATAAATTAAATAAGTTTTGAAATACATGGAAAATATATATAATTTCATGTAGATTATGAAATGTTTAAAACATCCAATTTTTTTTTTAATGAAAACAAATATCTAATGTGTTTTATTTAATTTAGTTTAGTTTCCATGGCCTAAAAGTAATAAAAAAAGAATTACCTGAAATTTAATTCTCCTGGTTTGGAATATGAACTTAATTAAATAGTAGTATATAAAAAAAATGTGTATTCAATATATTGCAGGACATTGAGAGAAGAAGAAGAGTTCAACAGAAGTAAAAGAGAACACAAATCTTCATCCATCATGAAGGACAGCATTATTTCTCAACAGGTAAGTAACATTTCAAATTTTATTTGAAATATGGTATTCAGTTTATTTTTTAATCATATCACTCTTCTTTTTTTCTTTCTAATTTTGAAAAAAAAATCCCTAATACATCAGCCAATTAATTTGCTTTCTATATAACAAACTTCTAAAAATATTTTTATCTAAATCTAGAAACAAACAAGAAAACTTTATCACTTTGTTTTCAATGGCTTATGGCATGAGCGGCATGTCATTAATCTCAAATATCCTTCCCAATATAACAAGAAAAGATTATCACTTAATTGGACGTACAATCCTATACTTGGTAAATAGGAATAATTTCCAGGGACTCTTCAAACTCTCTCTCTCTCTCTCTCTCTCTCTCTCTCTTATTTATTTATTTAAAAAATTAGGATTAAAAGTGGAGTTTTTTAAATTTTAAGAACTATATAGACACTAAATGATTAGAACTTTAAAAATACGAAAAATCTTATAAACCCATTGAGTGAAATATTTTTTATATGGCTAAATTTTTAAAAAAATTTATTAGCCTGCTGTTATTATTATTATTCTAATTTTATGTTGGATTTTGCTTTTATTACGAAAACAAAATGTCTTTTTTAAAAAAAGAGAATTTTAAAGAAAATATTAAGTTGAAGGGAAGAAGGTTCGAGAAAAGAACGGCAAGAAGAAATTTTAATATTTTGAAAGAAAAAAAAAGTGTATTTAAAAGCTCAATTGTTTTGGTTTCATTCATATATTAGTATCATATCAAACACTTCATTTTTCCTTAACAGAAAAAACTCCCAGTTTTAGAGTCTGAAAACCTAAAACAAAACTTTTAAATAACATAATTGGTTTTAATTTGAAATTTAAATTTAATTACTACTTAAAAACTGAACTTGAAATTAAACATTTAACCTTTTTATTTATTGATTTATTGAATTATTTTGCAGGATTCAGATTCGTGCTTGCAAAGCAGAATGTCAGAAGAAATGTTAGACGACCAGGAGGAAGCATGTGACTGTGAACTGTCGTTATCCCTCAAACCCACTCGTTCTCCAATGACACAACAATTATGTGGCCAAGATGTCAGCAGCTCTTCCAATTCTACCTCCCCACAAATTTACCAATTCAATTTTGTACAACTAAAACAATTTCCCCTTCCTCCCCACCTTACAAATTTGGACCTAACAATATGAAACCCCTCTTTCCCATGAGATTCATAGCTTTAGCTATTTTAATTGCCCTTTTTCCGTGGATTATTAGGTATTTTATTACACTTTTTTGTGGATTATATTGTTTTGTTGTAATGTTAAGTTACCAGTCTCAAAATTCTTTTCAACTAGGTATGTCCGGTATGATTTTATTTAGATATTTTTTTAGACAACTAAAAATTCAATAACCTATTAGACACTTAAAAATTTAGAAACTAAATAGTAACACGACTAAACAAAATTGACACAAATATATATAAGTTTGAGAAATTAAATCAGAAACAAACTAGAGAGACAGATTATATCAGCAAAGGCATTGCATTGATTGCAAATATCCCATCCTGTAAATCTACAACAAACAATCATTCATTATATGCATTAAATAATGCTAATTTTTTTTTCCCATTATTTTTCGATCTAGAATGGCTATGTATGTACTAAAAATTATCATGAAATTGTACAGATTTGCAACTTGAACATGTACAAGTGGTGCAAGGAAGAAGAGAATTTTGAAACACTACCTTATCTCACAACGTTGGCCCAAATAGCAGAAGATGTTTTCCTCTTTCATTGTCTCTTTGCCAATGTCTTTTTCAATCCTTTGAATATTATCGCGAACCACATACAGTTCATGACCGATAATACCAATGGTACAACGAAAACCAAAAGCTGCCCAAAAGCGTGCATCTGGAGAACCTGTATGATTAAGGGAAATGCATTAACACAAACTTCAGAACATGAGTTTTTCCTTTATTTTTCTCTACCAAATTGAACAAAAATACATCAATTTCTTCAAAAAATCATTGAAAATAAACTATGGTCATAATATTTTGACAACTTTAATACAAGTTTTAGCGTTAAATTATTAAATAATGAGAATTTAAAGTTAGAAGTAATCATCAGACTGGATGGAGGCTATGATTTAAATGGCACACAGCTATGATCACAGAATTATTCACCCAAAAGACATGATTGGTGTCGCATGCCACGAACAATAAAAAGTCTCAACTACTAACTCCAACTTGACAAGAGGGACCCCAAAGAGAGAAATTGTTAAAACACTTTATGTGGCAAAAAGAATAAAGTACAAATTAAAAAAATCAAAATTTCAAAAAACAAGCTAAAAAAAAAAGAGAGACCTCAACTACAAGAAAGGATATCGATCCAAAAGAATGATACCAAACTGAAAATTACAAAAAGTAATGATTTAAGGACTCTCCCCCACACCATATCCATAAATCATTACCATGTTTCATAACTAAGGGTTGGTAAATTTGAAAATTGATGAATTGATTTGAGAAAGATCATAAAATTTTCCAAAAAAAGAAAGACACCCCAAAACCTTCTCAAGTCTATCTATAATTTCCACAAAATGAAATGTAGAGTGGAGATTTGAATTCCAACGTCAAGTAAATGAAAATGAGTGAATGCTTTTAAACTAATCTCATGTTCACAAATCTATATTTTTTCTTACTTAGGACATAAAAATATCTCCCAAAGCTTTCATGCTTTTGTCAATAGGTTCCTAGCTTCAAAAAGTGTTTCAAAAAGTGTCTAATAGATGCCTAGATTTTTTATTTTTTGTCTGATCTTTAAAAAATAATTCAAGTTCTTGAACTTTCAATTTTGTGTTTAATAAATACTCATAACATATTCAACTTTGTTTAAAATTAACAAATATATTAGTCATAAAATTAAATTATATATCCAGTAAGACATTAAACTTATAATGTTTGTATAGTAGGTTCATGAATTTTAAAGAAGGTTAAATACAAAATTAAAAGTTCAAACAACTTATTAATATAAAAATAAAAGTTTATGGACTCATTAGATACTTTCAAGGTTCTATAAGACGTAAAATTGAATGTTTTTAGACATATTAGATAATTTTAAAGCTTAAAAGAACATTTTCACACAAATCTAAAAGTTTGGAAACTAACCTTGTAATTTAACCATGTTTTTTCATTTTTTTAAATTTCATATAATCTATCAAATTAATTCTATCTTATAAAAGAAAAATGTTCTATTGATTTGTAAACAAGGAAATAAATATATGTATATGACACATGGTTCATATGATGCATGCAAGCTGACGAGTCTCTTTAAAACAATTGTAGACTTGTACTGCGACAAACTTATCATAAGGCCAGTAACAGATTGTTAATGTTTTGCCATTAGTATGAAGCATGTTTGGATTGAGTTTTTTGAGTATATAAAAATACTTTTAGCAATTAAAAATACTTTTTAAGCATTTTTATAAAGTTATTCCAAACAATTGATTAAAGGTGAGATTGATGATACCTGATTCAAGTGGAAGTAGACATGGTAAAACATGTACATGAACAGAAGGATTCTGGCAACCTGTAATATACAAGTTAAACTGCTTTGCTCCCAAACTCTCCATGGAGCACAATTGAAAAGAAATATAAAATCAAAATACATATATAATAATCAGATATTTTATACTCACCAGCCAAGCGAAGAATATCACAACCCCATTTATGAGGTATGCTTTTGACTTCTTCATTCCAGCTGTATCAAGGTACCTATACAAAGGGAATTTTTTTCTTTTACATCATTAGTCTGATGAAATGCTTTACACAAGATAAAGATAAAACCATTCCCTCAACATTTTTTATACCAACAAACAGATATGAACAAATTTTGAAGTCAAAATCAACCCTATTTCACTTGATAATTTATAAACAGAAAACTACCATCTTAAATTGATTCCAGGTGTAGTCGTTTCAGAGATGAGAACCATGTAGGTGTAAAGTTGCCCCTCACCAGTCAACATAGCATAGGCCACAGCTAAGAGAGAAAGGAGATGATGTAGCACCTGAAAAGACAACATTATGATTTTCCACAAACAATAAATTCCCACATAACCTTTTTACCCAAAAGAACACACAAGATAATATGACAGGAATATACAATAACCAGCAATATTTAAAGGGAGAACGCACTTACATACTCCATTCCACCAAGTGCAGGATAAAACCACAAGATCATTCCCAAATCAGTAAAGAAGTAACCGGCAGACACCTGCAGGAGTATCATCAAAATTTAAATCTATTTGAAGTCTATTATGTTTTAGATTGGCAAAATTTTAAGTCTATTATGGAAATGATGGTTGGTGATGGGAGTTACCGTTGGCAACTAAAACAGAGCTTAAAATTAAAATAGGTGGACATGAGAAATAAAATGAAAGTTGATTTTCAGACCGTCCAACAACAGAAAAGTTGGACATATATATGAATTTAGTACAGAGTTCGCACTTACACCCAGGCCAAATGCAGATATTGTTGAACTACGAAAGGTAATAAGGCCAAAATATCGGTCAGAAAAGAGATCTGACAAAAACACCATGTACAATGACGCTGCTGTGATGAAAATGGCATGGAGAGTCGACATAGCCCTGTAAAAACAGCAAACGAAATAATATTACCAGGAAAAATAAATAAACCAATACAAAGAAGGGAATGATCATTTACCGGTTGTTCCACTCCACCCGCTGAATCCTAGAAAGGTTGGAATAACTCTTGAAGTAAACACCGCTGATCAAATCAGTTACGTCATAGACCTGGAAAAGAAAGGATGATTTACAAATGACAGGCAAAAAGAAGAAGAGGAGGAGGAGGAGGACATGCAAACTCACACAAAGAAGAGAAACTACTTAATAGCATATTACTATCAACCTGTTAACACCATGATGATTGAATTGAAGATAAAGTCGCATGCAAGGGACCCACATTCAACAAGATAAAAGAGCCATAAATGACGGGGAGGTACCAATTTACTAGCAAGTATGCCTGCGGGAATGGAAATGTATGGTACAACAGGATCTGATGGTACAAGATACTTAAGTAGTTGCTCAGCCTGGCTTTGATACGACTTAAGTGACATGATTGCTTGTTTCAATCTTCGGTTACAGCATGCTATGGTTTCAAAAGAAACAACAAGATGCCCAATTCATCCAAATTCTTTAACTTCTCCTCCTCTTTACATCTGTCTTCAAAAGAATAGGTAAGTAGCTTAATCAACATAATGAAGAATAATAGAGATCATGGGCAGATTTAGAAACAAGAGCATTATTCACATTCACCACTCTACAGAGGTCAACCCAAATGGATGGCAAGGGTATTGTGGCAGTGTTCTCTCAGAATCCTAGTTAAGGAATTATGATTGGAATGGTACCCATAGGTTTATCAAGTTTAAGGCCTCCTTTTGAAGCTTTTCTACTTCTGTAATTAATAACTAGTAGTTTTCCCCTTTTCTATAAGTAAACAATGAAGTGGTTTCTACCTTCTAAAACTCTTCTAGGTGGAATCCTTTTGCTTCCAATGCCAACTGGAGGGACTTTTTACAAACCACGGCATTTTACTTGGGTTAATGTCTCATCTCTCATTACAATTTTATGGTATCTAATGAAAACTTTATGTTTTCTACTAATTTGTCAGAGGGAAAGAAACAGTGTTCAGCAAGGGTTGCCATTGTTTTGGGAATAATACTTGACATTCTTCTTAATCGTATAGTGCGCCAATGTGCAAAAAGCAGCAGACAGAAGATAAATTAAATAGTCATTACAAAGTAATATTGGTAATCCAAGCTTGAATATTCCTCATGTATAAAGATTGCTTAAAACCCCAAAAGAGACAATACGAAGGGGGAACATGGAGGACACAGGAGCCAGTCTGCTGTCAGGATCAAAGATGAAATTTCATGTGAAAACAAGCGGAATATAGAGGCTTCTTTTGTTCTATAGTGTACAGCATATGGCCTCTTGGTGTTGTTTAAATCACAAAGACATCTTTTGTACTTATAATATCTCCATGATTATTAGAAATTGGAAACCTTTTCAAAATATCCATGTATACGTTTCTTATCCGCCCCCCCCCCCCCCCCCCCCC